GACCAGATGGGATGGGGGGGTGGAAGGGGGAGGTGTTGGTGCTCTGCCGGGAAAGCGGTTTTGTGAAACTACAAACAGCCCATCATTTCCAGAATGAGTTTGCCTCCCCATTTTGGGGTTATTTTCTTAGACTGCTATAGTTTTGTGTTCTCTCTGAAAACAAGAAAAGGAACATACAAAACTGCATTTAATACCCAGAGAGAATATAAATCTAGAATCAAGAAACGTCCCTTCTACAAACTCGGCCCAACTAGAAATCGGGCCCTCGGGAGAAATCTCCAAGCGGTTGCGCGGTTTTGAACTAAGGGTCTTTTAGGGGAAGGGCTAAGGGCTATATAGTTGCTAGTTCTTCAATGGGATTAGGCAAACTGTTGAGTCCAATATGACAACGATGGGTTTTTGTTTTGTGTGTGGGGTGGGTGTGTGTGTGTGTGTGCGCGCAAGACTGGGTGGAGTCTGAAATAGGGTACAAAGAAAAGAGGGTCTGTGTAGGTTTGGAACGTTCTCCGATAGAACGACCTTTACTCCCTTTAAGTAACTTATCTGGTCGTGCCTTTGTTTTGGGGGTTATCTGGGCGAGGTTGTCCTGGCTTCTAACTCGCATACAAAAAAGTTCAAGCTTGGGCGTTTGGGGAATCGTCCCGCCGCCTCCGCGTCGTGGGAGAGGGTGCCTTTTGATTCTCCCTCCGTTCCCTCCCGCCGAGTGGGTCGAACCCTACGAATGCTTCAGAGTTGACAGCTGAGCCCCAAACCCTGCGCCCAAGGCGCGAGGCCAGTGTCGGGAGGAAACGATCCTGCCGGCGAGGGAAAGGGGGCGCTGATGCTCCAGAAACCAGACCTGGGCAGAGTGGGGCTTCCCAGAGACAGCGGGGGATGGGAGCGCGTTCACCTTTCTCGCTCTCTGATTTCTGAATTCTCTTGTTGGGGTTGGGGGTCATCCTTCATCCTTCTCCCTCAACCCCACCCCCACACAAGCACTCTGAAAATGGCCAAGGTGGCCAGGTTGGGACTGGCACGTCCAACAGCCGTCTCCTCCTTCACCAGGAGGGTGGACACAGTGCAGTGGACAGAGGAGAGTCACAGAGAAGTACTCCAACGGGCGCGGTGCTGTGTCTAATTAGGACAGGATCTTGGGGTATCAGTCTCGGAAATAGGGCGCCTGGGGCTGCGCTGGGGGCCCCATTGCCCCAGCTCTTCTACGCGACCTGCTCTCGTGCATCTTCAGCTCGGGTGACTGCACAGCTCGCTATTACTTCCACATGTTCCTTCAGGAAATCATTGAAGGCAAATATATGAACAGCCCCTTGTTCGGAATGCTAACAGGATACCGTAATGTTTGTAGAAAATGAGCGGGACAAACGATTCCCCCCAAAAATCAGAGTGCGGAATAAAAGGCAAACGCGGCTGCTGGGCTTCTTGCTGTTAAGTTGAGAACTGGGTTTTTAGGCGAGTTGCCCCAGAGGGTAGGAGGCGAGACACAGAGCCTACCCAGAAGGACTGCTTTGTTTCGGCGACACTGCTAGCCCGGTCAAGCCAGGGTCTTCCGTCCGCAGGGCCCCAGCGCTCTCCGCCCACAAATGGTAACTTCACAGTTCATTTCAGAGCCGTTTAATGGGGCCCGAAAAGCAGCCCGGGCGGGAGTGGCTCCAGGCAGCGACTCCTCAGGAGTTTAAAGCAGAAAGCAATGGATGAGCAAGCGAGCACCCAGTTGTCCTTCTGGTAGTAATTACCTGCCTAATTTGAATGATGCCTTTGTTATGACCATTAACAAACATTTGTTAAAGGTTTCCATGTGTGACATTCTGGAAGGTTTAAAGGCCTGAGGAGCTGACTCCGGGGATAGTGCCCCGGTGGGGGGTGGCGCAAGAAAGCAAATGGTTGGGGGAAGATTTCGCGGAGAGACTGTGCAAAGAAGAGAGGTCAACATCTGCCTCCTCTGCAAAACAAAATAAACCCAGTGGTCAGGAGCAACCTCCGGACAGGAGACCCTCGAACCGAGGCGGTTGGTTCCTTAAACAGAGTCCTGCCCCTACAGCCCCCGCCCCTATCACTGCTCATAGGCGGGTTTGAATCCTGTTTTCCGCCTTCTAAGGCTGGTACGAGGCTGGTTCGGGAGAAGTCGGGTCTGCGCCCGGCAGTCAGTCCGGAGCGTCGGGTGAAGGCAGGGCGAGTTCTTGCCGCATTCTCCCAGTGTTTGTTCTAAGATCCTTCCAGATTGGTCCCTCGACGCCCTGGGTCCGGGATGGCCCCGGAACCGCAGGGGGCCAGAAAGCTTGCCCTCCTGAGGCGGGTTGCGGGTCTTTTCTCCCCTTCCTGTGCTTCTGACTGGGCGCCCTGCGGGAGGTGGGAGGAGGGTACCAGGCCATCACGTGTACCAGGAGAGGAGCGACCTGCACCGGCCTGGGCAGCTCTGCGCAGATCTCAACCCGCGCCCGGATTCTAATTTTCAGCCTCTTGGGGTTTTTTGTTTTGTTTTTTCCTTAAGGGATTATCAAGGGGTTAAGAATGTGGGTTTTCTCCCCAAACGGGGAGTCGGGGAGGCTGCGTGCGGAGAGGAAGGAGGCTCAACTCCCGAATTGAGCCGGGCCGGGAAGTTAGGAGAAAAGGGTAGGGACTGTGACAGTTCTGTCCTCGGCCTTGCGCATCTACGCCAGCAGGCGACATGAAATTGGGAGCAAGGGCATAAAAAGGTGCAGTCGATGAGCTCACCTTCAAAAAGAGGGCCTCGTAAACTTTTTACAACCAGATCAAAACGGTCACTAAAAACAAAAGCAAAATCTCGCCGTGCCTTGCCCTGCCTCCAGGGCCCGTTCTCCCGGCCCCAACTCCCGGGCGAGGGCGGCCGCAGCTCCGAGCGCCACACCTTTGGCTTTGAGGGCGCTTCCCGCTGAGTTGGCTTTTTGTGTCTTCTCCTCCTCTGCTCCCCAGCCCCACCCCCAATTGTACTTTCTTCGAAGAATTCAAGTCCGTTTGCTCTAGAAGCCTTACGAATGTAACAGTTATCAAAGCCGTTAGTTGTGAAAATCACGTTTAAACTTGTGAATTATTTTTTTCAAATGGTGATGGGCGGGGCAAGGGAACAGGGGATGTTTCTGGCTTCACAGTTTGAAAACGAAGGGCCCGTTTGGTGGTTTACAAAAGAAAATGGTGCGAACTGCTCCTTCCCTCACCCCCTTTAATCCTTAGCTGCATCTGGAATAGCCCCCTCCCTGGGTCCAGCGCGGAAGGGTCCTTTGCCCGGAGGTAGTGGAGGCGACGCACAGATGTGAGGGATCCTCGCAGAGAGAGGGACGCCCTGGCCTTGGGTCTGCCCCAGCTGAGGCTTGTGAGCTAGCTCTAAGGAGTCTCTTTGCACGCTCAGAATTCAGAACGGCACAAGTCTTGAAAAAGGAGGAATTCTACAAAAAGATCGAGATGGGTCTGTGCAGCTTGAGGTGAAAGTTACCCTCCCCAGGACTCCGCACCCACCTCCTCTTCTCTGTGGTTGTTGGCTGGATCTCAAGGTGCAGCCTCTCTTCTGGGTTTGAGGGGCTCGCTCTCCAAGGAGAAGTAGAAGCAGAGGGTTCCTAACACCACAGCTTGTTTACGGACCTGAGGACAAGAACTTGTTTCCTGGTCCAGTCCAGCCTGGTGGGCCATACACTCCTTAGAGGCTGGGACAGACTGGTAGGACTGGAACCCTCTGGATCTGGCTTTTGGATACCCCTTCCCTCGCGAGAGAGCCCCCTTCCTCGGTTTAAACATGTTGTTGTGCCTCCGCCCTCTCCTGCTCCTTAGGTCTTTCCTTTTAGTTGCTTTTAATTTGAAAAACCATGTGAGGGGAGGGGGAGGGAACGAGGAGATTGGGAGGTCTGCTCTTTATTAGGGGCCCAGGCCTCCAGCTTTCCAACACACAGCTGTGGCTGGGAGGGGAAGGAGGGCTGGCTCTGTGGAGATCAGCCTCACTGAAGAGAGGGCCTTGTCCTCTGGAAGTCCCAGCAGTCCAGCACAGCCCTGTGATTTTTTTTTTTTTTTTTTTTTTTTTTAAATTTTTAAGTCTTCAGCAGAGACACTGCAGTGGAAAACCAGTGGAACCTCGACTCTTTGCGCATCTATTAAAAGGGGGATAATTGACCAGGCAAGGTGGCTCACGACTGTAACCCTAACACTTTAGGAGGCCAAGGTGGGAGGATCACCTGAGCCCAGGAGTTTAAGACCAGCCTGGGCAACATAGTGAGCCCCCATCTTTATTTAAAATAACAGCAATGACAACAATTGGAATAATCATGCACAACCTATAGGGTTGTCCTAGCGGTTCATATGCAAACTTAAGATGTACAAGGCCGTGTGTCAAGGTCTGAGGATACAGCCCTTTCCTCCTAGATTTTATGGACTAGTGGAGCAATCAATTAGACATAAAGTTGCAACTTAGCGTTCTAAGCAATGTTGAAGGGAGACAATGAAGTCAGCGCACAGGAGGAGCCTAACCCAATCTGGGAGGTGGGAGAGGGCTTCTTTCAGGGAAGGCTTCTCTGCAAATCTAAGAGGAGTAAGAATGTAGTTGGGGAGCAACCTCATTGCATGGGCCGGGAGGTGAGAGAGAACATGAGATAATCAGAAGTGAAAGGAGTTTGGAATGGCTGCACCTTGTAAAGGTCCGCGGGGAAGGAGCAAAAAAGAGGTGAGATGGAGCTCATGGAGGCCTTCTAGACCATGTTAAAAGTCAGAGATGGAAGGCTCCATCGATCCTCCCATCTCTGCAGGTCAGGAGTTCAAAACCAGCCTGGACAACATAGTGAGACTCCATCTCTACAAAAAAATTAAAAATTGACCAGGTGTGGTGGTACACACCTGTATTCCCAGCTGGTCCAGAGGCTGAGGCAGGAGGATTGCATGAGCCCAAGAGTTCGAGGCTGAGGTAAGCTATGATCACACCACTGCGCTCCAGCCTGGGAGACAGAGCAAGACACCATCTCTAAAAAATAAATTAATAAGGCTGGATGGTGGCTCACACCTGTAATCCCAGCACTTTGGGAGTCTGAGGTGGGGAGATCACGAGGTCAAGAGTTCAAGACCAGCCTGGCCAACAGTGAAACCCTGTCTTTACTAAAAATACAAAAATCTGTCGGGCATGGTGGCGTGTGCCCGTAGTCCCAGCTACTCAGGAGGCTGAGGCAGGAGAATCACTTGAATCCAGGAGGCGGAGGCTGCGGTGAGCCGAGATCGCACCACTGCACTCCAGCCTGGGCAGCAGAGTGAGACTCAATCTCAAAAATAATAATAATAATTATTATTATTATTATTAATAAAAAGGAAAACAATTGACAAAAGAACCTGGGCTTAATTCTATGGAAGAATCTGGTTTAAAGAGGGGCAAGACAGGAGCAGAGTTGAACTTTTAGCGAGATCAGCCTGGATGATCTGAGGAGATAGGGAGGCTCCTGCTGTAATCAAACAAGAGAGGATGCTTCCCTGTTCCTGGCGGATGGCAGAAGCTTGGAGAAAGTGAAAAGTGAATTAGAGAGAAAGAAGTAGAAAGCCTAGCACTCACTGGCTAAATGTGAACTGTGAGGGAGAGTGGGGTACCTGGCTGAGGCCATGGCTGGTGCTGTCTACTCAGTAGGTAGACAACCAGGAACAAGGTTAGAAAGGAAAGGATCGGCCGGGCATGGTGGATCACGCCTGTAATCCCAGCACTTTGGGAGACCAAGGCAGGCGGATGACCTGAGGTCGGGAGTTGGACCAGCCTGACCAACGTGGAGAAACCCCGTCTCTACTAAAAATACAAAATCAGCCAGTAGCCTGTAATCCCAGTTATTTGGGAGGCTGAGGCAGGAGAATATCTTGAACCCCGGAGGCAGAGGTTGCAGTGAGCCAGAATCGCGCCTTTGCACTCCAGCCTGGGCAATAAAAGCGAAACTTTGTCTCAAAAAAAAAAAAAAGAAAAGAAAAGAAAAAAGAAAAGAAAAGATGAGTCCACTTTTAAACATGACAAATTGGAAAAAACTCAAGAAGGATTAAAATGAGAGAAAAAAAAAACAGGACAGAATTTGGGGTAACTCCAGCATTTTCCAATAAGCAAAGAAGATAGTGAAAAGGAATAGCCAGGAATCTTTATCTCCTGGATAGTCAGCTGTTGTCTCTGAATCCACAGGATGAGAGTTGTTGAATTTAAAGACTTGTGTAAACTTATCGTCTAAATTCAACATTATTTGGGAAGCTGAAGTGGGAGGAGGCTTAAGCCCAGGAGTTCAAGGCTGCAGTAAGCTATGATCACACCACTGCACTCCAGCTCTGGGTGACAGAGTAAGACCCAGTCTCTAGACAGAGGGTGGGGGGGAGAGAGAGAGAGAGAGAGACAGAGAGAAGGAAGGAGGGAAGGAAGGAGGGAGGAAAGGAAAGAAGAAAGAAAAAGGAAGGAAGGAAGAAGTGACATTATACAACATGTCTGGTGACTTTTTACAACAACGTAAGAGCTTTAGTGATAATATAATTGGCAAAGCTAGATTATTTTTCCCTCATTTGTGCTCTTAAATAGACTTTTGGCCGGGTGCGGTGGCTCATGCCTGTAATCTCAGCACTCTGGGAGGCTGAGGCGAGTGGATTGCTTGAGTCCAGGCGTTCGAGACCAGCCTGGGTGACATAGTGAAACCACATCTCTACTAAAAATACAAAAAATTAGCTGGGCATGGTGACGGGCGCCTGTAGTCCCAGCTACCTGGGTGGCTGAGGTGGGAGAATCACCCAAGCCCAGAAGGTCAAGGCTGCAGTGAGCCAAGATCGCACCACTGCACTCCAGCCTGGGTGACGGAGTGAGACCCTGTCTCAAAGACAAACACAAAAATAGACATTTGTGTCCACATTTGGATTTCAGATCACCCAAAAACCCAAAGCAGGATTAAAGCCAATCCTTGTCTTAAGGACACTAGCTTTCTACCAGCTACCACTCCCGCCCCTCACCATGCCCTGGAGAGAGTGAGGCAGGACTCATTTTCAGGAACAAAAAAATATATGTTCGATTCCAGTGATGAAGACTGCATATTGCATATTGTCCTCCAATAATCATTCTCCTTCCCTTCTCAGTAATAGAGTCCTTGATTTTTAATTTCAGTTTATTCCCCACCCCACCCCCGCCCCCACCCTGGAACAGAAGTTTTACTTTCACCAACTTTTTTGCAGGTCAATGTGTCATGAAGAAAAGTTCCAGCCAACAGGACGTAAGCACGAGTTGTGAGTACAACTGCTAAAAAGCGCTTTTAAAATAAAGGATGCATCCTTCTCAGTCTGGTCTTTTGTGCTGAATAGAAAGCAGGTGTGTGAGTGGGGCCTCAGCAGCCAACTTAGACTACGAGGCCACCTTGAAAAGGGAAACTGTGCACTGTGGTACTATCAAGTAGAAGATCCCTCACCCTTAAGCCCCAAACAAAGCCTGATAATCTTCCTCCTGCTTTCTTGAAAATGTAGCAGAAAGAAAATTGTCTCTTTTTTTTAAAGAGTGCAATTTTTTTCTTATTCAGTGATAAACTAAAAGCCAATTTCTTGGTATTTCTCACATATACTTCATTTATTTTGTTAATAAGCAAAGTCCTACAAGGGAAGCCTTTGCCTAGTCCTCCAACTCTGATTCATCTTCTTGACTAATCTGGAAGTAATGAAGTTCGTAAGTCTTCTGTCAGATGCAACCACTCGAAGCCAATCATGAAGATTGCTCTTCTTAAGGTATTTCTTGGTAAGGTATTTCAAATACCTTTTAGAGAACTGTTTCTGAGAAAGAATGTGATTTTATTCCTGAAGCATTCAGTGTGAACAACATTCCCGAGATATCCAGTTTTGTCATTGACTTTAACCTTCTCCCATAGAAATTGTTCAAAATTTCCAGAATCAAAAATTCCATCTTCTACTGGATGAGTAAGGTCCAAATTAAACTTCCAGGTTGACTTCTTGGGCTTCTTGTCTTTCTGCGGCGCCCTTGCAAGTCAGCCACGCGAGCAGAGAGAAAATTGTCTCTCTCTTTTTTTTGAGATGGAGTTTTGCTCTTGTCGCCCAGGCTGGAGTACAATGGCGCAATCTCGGCTCACTGCAACCTCCGCCTTCTGGGTTCAAGCGAGTCTCCTGCCTCAGCCTCCCGAGTAGCTGAGATTACAGGCATGCGTCACCATGCCTGGCTAATTTTTTTTTTTTT